GTTTCGAATATAAATTAAAATGCTCTTAAAATTTAAATAATTAAATATACCTTATTATGAAATTAAATTAGGCTAAACTTAAGTCCTGACTAATATAAAAAAAGTGCCACGCTATTCTAAAAAATCTACTGTCTTTAAACAAAGCTAGTTATTCCTAGAGCTTTTTACCGATAACAATTAAAAGACAGTAAAATTAAGTAAGAGTTTTTATGAGAACCCTGTAATTTAGTTTTAGCTACAGTAGTTAAATATATATTTATATTTGTTAAAATGCAAAAACTTTAAATACGGTATATGCTGTTGAGAGTTTCTTTTTTTTACAGTACTTAAACATTCTCGTAAATTTTAGTGTAGGACAAATCCCGTAAAGGTCCATGGATAAAATCTTGATATTAAAAGTCAAACTGTTGCTCTATGTTGTATTTAAATGGCTATGGTAGCTTAACCAAACTACTACCTGAACCATAACACTTTCCTTGAATGTTTATTTCTTATTATCTGTTTAGAAAAATATTTTAACCTCTGTAAGATTAGATTTTGAGTATATTATGGAACATTGCAAACGTTGGTTTATAATATTTGTACAACAATATGTCCTATGAACCGTTTATTTGTATATTGGAATGGATACAAATTTAGGGGTATTTATTTATAGCTCTGTATATTGATGGTTTAGGTTAATTTGTAGCTTACTACTATGGCTATTTAATATAAACTCTACATTACTAGGCTATTCAATTAAGAAGTTCACAATAAGGTTCCCAGGTTTCATTAAAATGATAACAATAGCCAATGTCCTTGAAAGTCCTTCTTAGAGCATTAACAGTTTCATACTGCGGTTCAATTGGTGATGATGAATCTGGTTTATAAATAGTTGAATCATTCATAAACTTTGTTTTGATACGGATTTATTTGAATTTTTGAATAAAAACACTAGAAGCAAACCTACTAAGTGTGTTCTTGGGGAAACGCTTAAAATAATAGTAATTATTATATTAACATAATATTTTTCTCAAACCGATTAAACATATCTCATAAATTTCATTTTTACTACTGGTGGATTAATGTTACTATGTTACAATAAAACAAAGCAATGTCTTTATATTGTAGTTACTACACTTCATGGTTAAGTAATTAAGTACCATATGGTAACTATAATCGTATATTTTTAGCATCAATTTACTGTTGATACAATTACAATTAAAGTGGATTTAGTTTGGTTTTGGTAATTATAACCTTTATTTATTAGTAGTATGGATTACTTATATGACGCATTTAAAACACGTTGCTGATAGTAAAGCAACACAGTAATTCCAAGTACAACCTAGTTATACAAAAAGTCTCTCATTAATTGTACATTTCAAATATCTTTTTGAAAGAGCAAGCAGGGCTTTAACCCCAAGCATGAGTAGCAAAATGCTTTACAACCATTCATTTGCAGCATAGTGTTACAGTAAATGTAACACCAAATGTTTGTCCATTGTTTCACAGTGTTACACTTTGTGTAACACCACATGTTTTATTTTTTTCCAACCAGACACACAGCGCTATTATTTCGGAACTGTTCCCCTGTAGTTCAACACATCACCACTAGATAGGGTATGTGGGTATTTGAGGGAAACCTATTTATTTATTGTGTTCAGAGACGTTCACATGTGATCGTGTTGGTGTTTACTGTTATCATTGATACTTTCATGATTATTGAGGTAAGTTTATTACTGATTATACTTATTCTAAATGGAAAATGAACTTATAGTTTCGTTATACAATATAAAGTTGTTTTCCCATAATTTATTTAAGTTATACGTTGCTAGGTGATAGGTCAAAACAATTAAAAACAAGCATTTTTGCATTTGTCATAGTTCCCTGCAACATGGGGTCACAGAACTAGGGATGGTTCCGTGCAGCAAAGAGTTGAGGAAGGCTCATTAATGTTCATAAATTACTATTGCAATTCATTTTATGCTGCCCGGAATCTACGGTCTACATCAACTTTATCAAATGGGGAACTATAAAAATATGCTAAGTAATGAAAAGACATGCTTCGCCAACTATAGTTTTGCAACTCACTTTACAACTAACAACAATAGAATCGATTAAAACAATAGAATTAAGTGGTCAGTTTCAGAACTTAGTGTTTTAGAAATTTAAGCTGCGATAAAGAACGATGCCTTTAGTTGATCCTTTTTATAGTTTTTCTAAGGTTAGCTTTTTTAGAAATATAATATGTAAATGTTTAGGATATATTAAATAGTTTCCTAGCTAAGAACTTTTATTATGACTGAGTTATGTTATGTTTATTTTCCTGTGTAAATTCTATGCATCTTCTGTGTTCTGTGATGCACCCAAACCCTTAGAGCTGTGATTGGTTGGGATCTTGGGATCAAAACTACAACTTAATTAGGAATTGGACGCAAACGAAATAATAACTTAAAATAAAAAAAAACGTATTTTGAACCTAAACTTGTCACACGGATTATTGAATGACGAGGGAACTCATGTATTTATGTCATTGGTTTACTTAAATATTGTGTAACATTTTTATTGGCTTCATTAATCAGAATGTTTTTTAAAGTACTAACTGCAAATATAGAGGAGAAATAAGTCCATACGAAACTCACACCTATACTGCTCGATATGATGAAAATCCATAGAAAATTTAATAATATCTCCATTTCAAGCAAAGTAATAATTTGCTAATGAAAATTCGTTTTAAATTAATTTGAATGATTTTAACTAGATGTGAAACACTACATATTAAAACGTTGCTAACTGAAAGATTCGTATTGAATTCTCTAATCAGAATATACCCTGTAAGAAAATGTAGAAGATAAACAATTAAAATTGTTGCGTGTGAAAACGCCCTCAACGAATACGGAACCTTTTCGTAACGCAATAACGTTTTTCAATATCGGCCTAAGAGACTTACTGGCTTGTGAATAAACCCGTAGCACGAATCATTCAATCTTCTAATGGGACAAATGCAGAATATTTTCGAAACAACTTTTTAACGTCAATAATAATACGTTACGATACTTGTATAAACGTTCTACCGTTACACATACTTCACAGGAAAACCAGCGTAAATCATTAAAAGTGTGGTTATTTCCAAAAAATAAACAATTCTGTATAAATTTACATAGTTTATAGGATATAATAAATAAATCAGCAATGACTAATCGGTATTATTAAAGTAACAAAAATATTGATAAATAGCGGCAGTATTGGAAACAATACGAAGAAACTGCTGGAAATTATTTTTTTTATGTGTGAATGAATGCACAATAAATATATGTTGTAGGCCTATATAATATGTGTTTCAAATTAATTTTAAATTATCAACAGGTAACTAAAACTGTAAATTTATCGACAGCAAAATATTACTAAAATTTATTTCAAAAACAAATTGACAATGAGTAAATAATGGTTAACGAATTTGTAGGTTGGTTTGTTATTGTTGTTATACAGATTACATCATGTGGTATTTTGACCCGGCTGCTATACACTTGAACAGTTGTTCTGTGAAGGAGTAATTTTATATTTCAAGTTTCTTTCATTAAATCTTATACAGTAGAAGCGAAATCGCCATCATAACACCATTTAAGTGTAAAATTGCAAATCACTGACTAAATATGATACAGTAAGTTATTTTTTGTTAAGTTGTCACAATCTAATAGAATTACGGTTAAAATAATAGAAAGCTTTCAATGCGACTCTCATAATAGTTAAGCTTTAATAATAATAAATATGGGTGTAACCGTGACCCTTGGAAATAGATTTACGTAATAATATGCTTTTGCTGTAAAAATATAAATTACAAAACAAATAAAAAGACTAATATTTTATTAGGCTATGTACCGGTAACAGTTTTGTATATGTAAAGATGTACCTTCGAGGTGTTAGGAGACATTTTCCATTTCCAAACTGTTATAGAGGTTGCATTTGTAAACTGAATCTGGTTTCATTTTATACCTACTTTTATACTGTAGCAAAACTTATTTTGTCAAATAGTTTATGCAGATCATATATAATACCATTAGCAATGCATTATGAGTATATTTATCCTAAAATCTACCTGTTTGCACTATTAGTACGTATAACAATCTGATCTAGGAACGTTACGGCAAGTTTAGGGCAGTGAATTGTTATTAATATTTCCGAAATCACTGTAATCTAAGTAATATATTCAGTTATTGCCATTTAGAACACTAAGTATGAATTGATCAATTTCGATCCTTAAGTTTTCAGGGAAAGTTTATATTACACTCTCGAAAGAAGTTTTCGTTAAGAGCTTAGAGTTTTACCAACTCGTTTTAGGGTTCCAAAACAAAAAATAACGTAACCATTGTTTCATTTCATACTATATACAGGAGTAATCCAACTATTTTTTCATATGTAGCTATGTAAATTATGTAACATTCTCTGTGTATATGTTGTTTGAATACTTAATTTCAGAGAATTCCACCTTAAGATAATTTATTTGGTGAATTTTCAAAAGTAAAGTTCTAAGATAGAATTATTATACCTACGATCCTCAATTTACAAAATATTATTGTTTCATAATTTATTTAAATAATAATAGTTTAACACATTTATATAAACTTTTTTGTGTGTATTATAGTTATAAAAAATCTATCAAAACTTTAAACTGAAGTTAAATAGCCACTGATTCACAATAACTACCTATTTATATCAAAAATGTTAATTTACTCCTAATGTATATTTCAACTTACAAGTACAATTTTTGTCGGGATGAATTCAAACTCTATGAATTTATTCCAACTTAACTAAACTAAACTAAGCATTATAGACTATGTTAAATTCTCTTTCATTAGCAAAGTACAAACAAACTTTTAGTTTTTATATTATTTCGAAAAATATAGTTAGCTTCACATCACACGTTTATATTATACATAGAGCATTTACTATTTACTGCACTATAAACACATTTAAATCTACCACTAATGTTTATTCGTCCACAGATTTCTCAGGCTACTCACCGTATACAAGATCATGATGTTTCCTGGCAGAAGACCATTCACAGAATGTCCTGATCCCACAGGCGCAGGATCTTCACTTTCTTCTCCTTCTCCCCTCCAGATCCCGAGTCCTTCGAAGTTTGGGTGTCTCCTTCGAAGAATGCATCTAAAATCGAAAATGTTCAACTGGTTTTGTCACGTGCCTTATCGGTTTTCTCTCCACTTTCCAAGGGTGTATGTTGTTGACTTTCTTGTCACCTTTGAAATCACCTGTTACTCTAGGCGCTTCACGTCTCAGGGAAATCAGCCAAAGATAACAGGGTGTTAAATATGTAACAGGGTGTAATACGCATATTTGAGGAAGAGATTGAAAAAGATATTTATAAGCGGGAAGGGATCATTTTCATGATTATTTGATTAGAGCAGTACAAACATGTGAGAAAAATGGGCCTAAGTAAATAATGTTCTTAGTAAAATAAGACAGGAATATTATCGTGAGAAAATATTTAGGTAAATGAAATAAATCTCAAAAAATATGCAATCCTTTTAGTTTAACATTTCACTCAAGGGGAGATGAAGTAGTCCATGACTGTAATCACGTAATATAATTACAAATCAAACAGGGAAAATAATGAAGTAAATGCATATTTTACATTTGTATGTTAGATTTTGACCAATTAAAAATACTTCTAGATGTAATAAAGAAAAAAGGTCCAGAAATAGATAGCATAAAATTGATTTCGAGAAAAAAGTATAGGCGTTAGTGGGTACCCTGGGTAAAAATGATAAATAATTTATAGAAAAAGGGGAAATTACTCGAAGAGCTGAAAAAAATAGTAAGACCAGTATATAAATCTGGAAATCATTATTATCACTGAAATTATCGTCAGTTATAATTATATAGAATAAAATAATGGAGGGCAAATTAAAACAATTGAAACAATTGTTTGAATGAAAACAAAATTATTAACGATTGTCAGCAAGGCGTATATTCCTTATGGATTGACAGTATGTATATCAAACAAGTAAAGGCCCAAATGGTCTATTAGGAGATTCATCAGAGTTTGTAAATAATTAGTTTGGCTTAGGAAAACAAGTAATTGTAATATTTATTGATTTCTCTAAAGCATTTCATACTCTGAAGTCATAAAAAATGTAAATACCCTAGAGAGAGCTAGGAGGAAAAAGGAATATCGGTTTATAAATGGTGAAAAAAATGGAAAGATAACTTTAAAAGTAGATGATAGGCCTACTTATCGTATAACGAAAGTGTTAATATATGGTGTGCCTCAAGGTGGTATCTTGGGCCAATTATTATATTTGTTTGAATAATATGTCAATTGTAATAAAAATGAGTAGAATTTATATGTTTGTAGACGACACAGTGCTGGTGGTATTAGAGAGTAATATAGAACCTGCAGAGAGTAAATTATAGGGGATTTCTTACAGAAAACAAAATGGTGTCATGATAATTAATGACGATTAATGAGAATAGCTCTATAATATAAATAATGCACGTACACTCACCCTATTTTAATTGTAGAAATCCTATTAAAAGTTCATTCTTGTAACTGTTTACATTTAGAAACATAAATTGATAAAAATGAATTTGCTAGCCACTAAAAGTTGTCTGTAATTTTAACTATTTAAGGACTACCATTGATCACAATTTTAAATGTTATGTGTATGAAGGAACTTGTAAAAAAAATGTGCAGCAAATTTTGACTATTTTCAGCAGCTTTTACTATTTCACAACATGTAATTAGTATATTCATCAATATGTGAATCAATGTGTATATCCATGTTTTGCCTCCATGGTTGATAAAGAGTACTAATAATAGGTTGCATAACTTTTTACGTCTTCAAAAAGGTATTCAAGGACTAGGACTAGGATTGAAAACGTAAAAAGGTATTTAACCTATTATTACTACAATCTAATGTATATGTGAATGAAAGTAAAATATGATTAAAGAGGTTGGGGAAATACTGCACACACAACTAAAGCTTTATACTACTGTACTATTGTTGATATTTTTTAAATAAGTTTAAAACTAAATTTACATGGTTATAGCTTAAAGAAACCTTATTTCATCATACCTAAAGTGAAAATTAAATATTTTAAGAGAACAAGAAGTTTGTTCAGAACTGTTTGGACCAAATCTAAATAATAAAATATATAATAAATATAATAAATAAAATAAATAATTTTATGTTTTTTATTTGATCATGGTGCTGTAGTAGTTTACCTATGGTTCTTAAGTTTGTACAGAGCTAAAGTTTATGTAGAAAACAATAAACGACGCTTGTACGGAAGCGCATTTTTCTACTAAAAAGGTTATTAATTCGAATATGTATGTGTTTTACGAGTGCTTGGATTTAGCATATGTATTTTTATTTTTTGTTTACATGCTCCAAATAAAATTTTAACCTGAACTCGTTTACGTCTGCATGGACCTAGTTCATCTTTAGCTTGTATTCTAACTCTTAGGAAATAACAAGCATTAACCATTGCACAAAAATTAATTATATAAATATGTAACGGTGTTATTGTTAAGGGGAGTTAAATTCAAGCATGTGATATTTAGCCATTGTTGAAAACAACATAAATATGAAAAATACAATTTACATATTTTTAACTATGTTAAGTACATAGTTGGCTTAACCTCCATGTGAATTGTAACAATAATTATCTACTAATCAAATTTATATCGTCAGTTTTTAATAGTTTAAATCAAGATAATGAACCTTGGCAGGTAACCTATCAACATACTAGAAGTAACCCACCCTAACAAATAAATTATTTGTTTACGTTTTAATATTTTTATTCTTATTAGTAGTGACTAAAACTGATTTTGTTTTATTTATCTCAGCTCACTATAACGTACTTTACTTATTAAATTGATGTAGTATTTACTGTTATCGCGCAATAGAACTTTTATTCTAGTTTATTTTATATGGCTTGGTTAATTATGAATGTAAACATATGTTTTATTCTCGTAACCCGTACCTGAATCTGTTGAAGTGTTAATGTGTATCTCCAATCAGAGACAAGGCATATAATAAACGCAATAATTACTAAGCATTGGATGAATAGATACATTTAAAACAGTGATATCATCCACTTTAACTATAGGTTACATTGAGAAATTTTTTCTCCATTGCAGTTTTTTACTAATAAAACATTGGAAATAATTTAATTTCAGAAAGATATAAAAAAAAATTTTCTAACATTTGTAGAAATGCAAAAACCTGTCAATTTTTTGTTAATTAATAATTGACATATTCGTTCGCCAGTCTTTTTATACCGTTATGCAATTTTATTCTTATTATTTAGCATAGTAAAAACTAAAATTCCAAAATAGGAAAACCAAAGGAGAAAAGAAAGAGTATACGAACAAGACAGGAATAGAAACAATCAAATTGGGAAGGTGAGGATTACTTCAATAAGAAGAATGTTTTCCTTCACAGAAAAATTTATCTTTTTTTTTCTTTGAATGTTTTTTCTGTCAAGGAGAGCTGTGTTCCCTCAAGGTACAAAATCTCACATTACTGATTAGTGAGATTTGAACCCGGTCCTTTGAAATTAGAAGCTCTAAACACAATACCATGCCACAGCCCAAAACGAAGTACTGATTGTGAAATGTGTCCATAGTGTCAATCAATTTGTATATCATTTGTTCTGTGTAGTTTATTATTAACGTTCAACTTTAATGAATTTTTGCTCCTACCCATCAGCAGTAATGGTTAAAATGTGCCACTTTCGTCCCTGGAATAGTTAGACTTAAATTCTATAAAATCCTGTGGAACATATAATAAACCGAAATTCGTACAATGAGAGAAATTTTGTAGCATTGAAAGGTTTATCCACACTTAACACAGTACCCACTATTAATTCCATATCCATACTAGGTACCCACCTAGTAATTTCCAGTAGTTATAAAAACAATTTTAACACTATTAGTACTTATGATACAAATATTAAAAAAAGAAAAATTTTCCACATACAGACGTTTATTATTACTGTAGTTACTAGATATTTGTATTTTTTATGGATTTTTCTCCTGTAAGAACAACATGGATAATTTTGAACTCATAAAGGTAGAGCTCTAAGGTGGATTTTGAATATTAACGTATCCAAAAACCTCACATGAATGTATACTATTCATTAGTAGTAGTTAGGTAATCATTTTGTTGGAAGTCCTTAGTTGTAATCCTATTGAACAAAATACAGTTTTAAGTGGCAAAAATATTTTCAAACGTGTAGAGAATATTGATGAATGTTTCATCAACAACTGTGCCATTAAAACGGCACTGTAACTTCCCTGCAGTATAACAAGTGAAAAAAAAACTAATATTACATAAATCCAAGCATTTTCCAAACAAAACTCTAATTTCAGTTATATTTATCATGTATATGGGCTTATATCATCGCACAAATGATATTTGTTGCATAATTGGATAATTTATCGGTTGAAAGTTTATGGAAACTCAGTATTCTCTTTTGTAGGGAGCGGCCAATCTAAAGGTTGGAGTACCAAATCACAAGACGACTAGAAAGAGGTGGGCCAGACAACCATAAAAGTCTTACGTATTGCCATATTATGCATTTATTTCCTACCGGCCATTTAAAGACCAAAATGCTCCGCTCTCTTCTTTTACTATATTTATGATGAGAACGTCAGACTTCAGACCACAAGTTCAGATACAGGGTGCATCTATGGGTACATCTTTATTATATTTATTTTTAGGGTACAATTATTAGTACTTCAAAAATAGTAAAAACTGGAACCATCATGTTATTTTCACTACAGTCGACGACTCCATACAAGTAACCCAATACATGCAGAGGTTTTCCAACTGTAGTGGTCTTCATCTTAATACTGGATGTATTTTGTATTGTTTATTATGTAAAAACGTTTATACTGCTTTAAGTAGAATAAACGGTTAGTCAACCCATTGCATAGGGTGTGCCGGAACTGCCTGGTTCGGGTTTGTAGATTTGATCCTTAAATCCAGACAAACACAATTTATGCTATAAACATGTGCCAAAAGT